GCGTCGTCGGGGCCGCCGGCGCCCGGCTCGACGCGGCGCCGCGTCACGACGACGCGCGGCCGCGCCGGCGCGCCGTCGAGCGCGACGACGACGACGGCGTCCGCGGGCGCCGCGCGCGCGTAGCCGCAGAGCGACGCGTCGTCGGCGTTGCGCCAGAAGGCGTAGGCGTCGAGGAGCGCGTCGGGCAGCAGGCCCCGGAGGTGGCGGTCCGGCACGTGGGTCTGCCGCGTCGCCGCGCGGCCGCCGCGCGTCGCTTGCCGGCTCACGTCGACGGACGGCGCCGGCGCGCCGCGGCCGCCCGCGTGGCCCCGCGCGAGGGGCCAGGCCTCGCAGCCGCAGTCGCCGCCGTCCTAGGACGTGTCGACGGCGACGACGTCGACAGCGCGAGCGGGAGCGACGTCGGGGACGAGGGGTCGTGGAAGGCAGCATGCACCGCTCCAAGGAGCCATCCCGTGCAGCGCTACGCCGTGACGCGCGCATCGGCGACTCCGCGGACTGTCGCAGCGCACCGACGTGCCGCTGTTCGGCTCTCGGCCATGCGTCCCGGCAGGCTGCATCGATAGTGCACTTCGTCGCCTCAGGCAAACATCGAGAACGATTGGTCGATGCTGCCGACTTGCCGCAGGGCTCCTCCAGGGGCGGCGTCCCACACAAAACCCAGGACCGGAGTCAAGTAGAATGCCGGACCCATAAAGAGCGAAAAAAATTCAAGGCTATAACGTGGATCTCGCGCTGGCACCGCTGGAAGACCGTCCGAAGACGCGTCTTTTTTTGGCCCTGGCGAACTTGAAGTTCTCGTCGGGCCCATCATCCGCTCTACCGCGAGGAGCACTCCATGAACCCGGCGACGGGCCCAGGCCTGGCCTGTCGAAGCGAAGCAAGAGCGCGCTGCGGAACTTCGCCGTGTAAGACCTGCGACTGGTTCGCGGGCATGATTCACTCGAGCCGAAGACGTCGACCGCGCCGCGGCGAGCGAACTGTCCCACGCGACGCCTGCGGACGTCGTGCCACCGAAACCTCATGGATCGGTAGCATTGCGACGATGTAGGGGCCGCATGAGGCTGCCACAACCTCATGGTGGGAGCGGAGTTCAAGAACAGAAAACGAATCCCAAATTTCTCCGCTGCCGCGGTGCAGCGCACCTTCGTGCGCGCGCTCGAGCCGCGCTGAGCAGGCCCGATTGCGCGCCGCTTCGCATTCGCGGCTGCAAGTCTGGTGGCATCCCATCGCACGGGCTGGTTCGAGACGGTTC